AGACGGCGGCTTCCGATTTGAAGAAAATTGTCAAATAGCCTAAAATATGGGTATTTCTGAAATCGGGGATGACACGTAGATGGGGTCTCCCTCAACTCAGTCGGTAAAGGCGCAGCTACAAAGCAAGACCATGCGGGAAGTGGCTGGGTTCGATTCCCGGTCTGAGAGCGTCACAATTAGCGATCTTATGATTCGTGAGCGTTCACTCAGCGTGAGCGCTCACGAGTCGTAAAATCGCTGATTGTGACGCACTGAAAGCAATTTTGACAGATTTTAAGTGTCAAACATATACTTCATGACCTCCTCTTGTAACTTACAAGTAATAATTAGTATTATACTATATCATGATTTCATAATTCCAAAAAACATTTTTTTATAGCAAGTGAGTGGAAGTAACCCTGCTGTCAAATACCCATCAATGTGGGTATTTTCGAGATCCCAGTAACGTCTAGAGGCGTTTTAAAATTTTAAAATCTAATATGGCGGCTTTGGTTAGGAAAAAGTGGGAAATACTGTCAATTACCGATCAATGTGGAATTTAGGAATCGATGTGACACCTAGAGACCATAAATTGATTTCCAACGCCGTCTTGAAATTCGAGGGGTGGTTTCCGATTTTAGAAGAAATGTCAAATAGCCTACAAATGGCGGCGAATATCGATTTTCAGCATCTACGCGTCGTCCCCGTTGCGAAAATAACCAGGTCTTGGCGAAACCCAATGGCTGCCATCTTGGATTCGAAAATGGCATCGGATATCGGTTTTCAGCATCTACGTGTCGTACTCGTTCCGAATATTGTTGGGTATTTGAGACTTTTCCTGAGTTCGACGGCTGGCAGCTTGGACTCCAGAGTGGCCTCGTTAATTTAATTTTCGATCAATATAAAATTACATTTTGTTCCTACATATAATCCGGATCCCATCGCTATCGGCAACCGATCTTGTGCGGATACCAGGCATGGAAAATCATTTGCATTCATTTCGTGCATTCATTTACATTCATTTGCCCCTAACTTCTTTCATCAACAGAATTCCGCAAAATAATGTATAGAGCTTTTGTAGGTTTTGTTATTAGTTACTTAACTGCTAACAATTCAAATCCGTATCTCTTATGCATGACGAACCAGAGCGAACAGAAGCCACTACTGTTTTTTAGTGAATGTATTTTACATTCACTGAAAAACAGTAACAAGTTCTGCCCGCCCTAATTTGTGATGCATAAGAGATAAATATTTGAGTTATGGGCAAAAGTTGTAGCTAATAACAAATCCTACTAAAGCTCTACACATCATTTTGCGGAATGCTGTTGATGAAAAAAGTTAGAGGCAAATGAATGTAAATGAATGCATGAAATGAATGTGAATGATTTTCCATGACTGACTGGATTCTAAATATATTTTGATGCCTGAAGACGCGACGCGTGACAAGTCTAATGAGCCCCAAATAGAATTGAAAGTGGAAAAAATGAAGGAAGTTGTTTTCGAGTAATTCATTGCGTCAATTGAAACAAGTCTTTGCAGGAGGCATGTTTATCGTGACTTGCTAGTAAGAAACACAATGACTTACACGAAAATGATATTGCTCGAAATGAAGCGATTGTGCGGAGAGTTCATTTTCTTTTCTTTGTTTCGAAAATGCAGAACCCTGTTATGCGCAATTCGTTGTTTTCGAGTGATTTTGTTTGCGCGGGTCTTCGATGGATGTGGAATTTGGCTTAATTGGTTCCAACATAGAATATCTGGTATTCCTGATAACCAAGGAGATTACTGTCTTCAGCAAAGTTGATCAGGTGGACAATTTAGTACACTACGTGGCGCTAGTGTACATGTCAAGTTCCAGTATAAGATATGCCTCAAGAACTTGACCATTAGACTGATGCAAAAGTTGAAATTTTCGCTCCACAGTGCTCAAACGGTTTCAAATCAGGTCCTGATTAGCTTCCCAAAATTTAAACTCATTTGGTAAGAAACTGACTTGGCACAAACTATTCGAAGTTTGTATGGAAATTACTATGGGAAAACCAATCTTTTTGTTCATTGTCTTCTACCCATTTTCTGTATTGTTTTTTCAAAAATTTCTATAATTATTCTTACGGGAAATTTTCTAAGCTACAACTTTGCCCAATATCGTTTTTCAGCCAAATGTCAAATTAAATTGTTATTAATTGTTTAAGAGATTGATAATCTTATGGCATGATCAAGCAGCTGTTCTGTGGGCAACACTATATTCTGCAGTGTGACATAGTAGCCATGATATTTGTGCTCTATTCTTCACAGCAGAAACACCAATGTTGCCTGCTGAACAGTTGAATGAGCATAATCATAAGACATCAGTGACTTGAATCATTAATAACTTTTGTTTCTTACATTTGTTTGAAAAGTAGTTCTGAACAAAGTTGTAGCTGAGAAAATTTGCTACAATCACTACTATCATTTTTAACAGCATAGTGATGTGGTGAATTGTTTGATAGATATGAACAAAAATTTAAGTTTTGCTATAGTAATTTCCATATAAACTTGAAATGGTTTGTGACAAGTCCGTTTCTTACTAAAGTAGTTCAAATTTTAGGAGGCTAAGCAGGACCCAATTTGGAACCGTTTAAGCACTGTGGAGCGAAAATTTCAAATTTTACATCAGTCTATTGACCATCTATGATGTTACTATCTTCGGAAAAGTTATTCAGGGGTTCAAGTTCAATTTATAGGTGGACAATAGGGTGCTTCATTTGGAATACAGTATTTGAAATTTAATGAGTCATTCTCCAGTTTGACAAATATCCCTAAAATATGAGCCTGTGCATAAAATGGTAACGATTGATGATTTATGAGATTTGGAACTAGCAAAATTGGTTTGAAGTTCGTATGGAGATTTTAACGTATTACTATGGGAAATTTTTGAATTTCCCTACTATCGCTCTATTTTAGATTTAAATTGTCAGAATGCCGTCAAAATGGCATATGCAGTTGATATGAAACAACAAACAAGCGTGTCGTAGTTGTGATGAAATTGCCTCTGTCAATTTTTCACATTTTCACCTTGCTTGAATTGCCACCATAACAAAAACAGGCTTGTTGGTCATTGTCATAAAAGCCACATATTCAATTTTTACAACTAGAAACAAAGTTACAGCTAAATTTGAGAAATTTTAACTTCATCCATACTAATCCCCATGCAAACTTCAAATCATTTGCACGACCTCTTAACCTTCGTCAGTTTTAGCCATTGGTTGCACAGACTCATGTTTTGTGGTTATAAATCACATTGGAGGGAGGCCTATATGATTGCAAATACTTCTTTTTCTAAGATCAGGCACCCTAATGGATACAATAGTTCAAAATATTCTCACTGCGTTGGCACTAGTGTACATGTGAAGTTCTAGAATAAGCTATACCTTAAGATTCTGACCACCTAGGATGTTACTGTATTCTTTAATACACTAACAAAAAATCAGAACTGCTGTCCATCAAATCAATTATGCTTGACTCCCTGAACAACTTTTGCCAAGACAGTAATTTCTTAGGTGATCAGGTTTTTGAGATACAGCTTATACTGGAACGTCACAAGTTCACTAGCGTCACATAGGGAGACAATTCAGAACTACTGTCCAGCAATCAATTAGACTTGAGCACCTGAATACCTTTTCCGAAGACAGTAACTTCCTAGAAGACCAAGTTCATGAGATACAGCTTATACTCGAACTTCAAAAGTTCACTAGCGCTAGGATGTGCACAAATTCAGAATTGTTGTCCAGCTATCAATTAGACTTGACTCCCTGAACAACTTTGCCGAAGACAGTAACTTTTTAGGTGATCAAGCTCTTGAGATGCAGCTTATACTGGAACTTCACAAGATTAGTAGCGCCACATAGTGAGAAAATTCAGAACTTTTGTCCAGCGATCAATTATACTTGAGCCCCTGAACCCCCCATTTCCGAAGACAGTTACTTCCTAGATGACCAGGTTCATGATATACAGCTTATACTCGAACTTCACAAGTTTACTAGTGCCACGATGTGCAAACATTCAGAACTGCTGTCCAGCAATCAATTACACTTGACTCCCTGAACAACTTTTCCAAATACAGTAGCTTCCTTGATGAGCAAGTTCTTGAAATACAGCTTCTACTGGGACTTCACAAGTTCAGTAGCGCCACATAATGAGAAAATTCAGAACTGCTGTCCAGAAATCAATTAGACTTGAGTTTCTGAACACCTTTTCCGAACTTCACAAGTTCACTAGCACCACGATGTGCAAACATTCAGCACTGCTGTCCACCAATCAATTACACTTGGCTCCCTGAACAACTTTTCCCAATACAGTAACTTCCTCGGTGGTTAGGATAATGACATTCCATATGTTATGTGGTCTCAATTTACGTGGTCCTTATTATACACACTCTTCGGGGGATTGATCTGTATCTGACAGTTATCTATTGCACCATGATGCTATTTGGTTGTCTTTGATGGGAGGGAATTGTATTTCTGTAGATAGGTAATTAATGTTGAATTGGCACTAATTGCCTAAAATCATCTCGATTAGTTGAAGGACAAGCAGGAACGAATTACTCAGCATATACCTATTTTGAGTACTGCAATATTTCGTGGTGCAATAGTTGACATTAAAATCGTGGAACACTTTATGACAAAATCCTTGATTCAGTAAATTTCTATCTGATTATATGTTCCATTATTAATACAAAGTCCTTTCAAAATATCGAAACAGAAATAGGTTTAAATGCAAAACTTCTCTTCTCTCGTTGTCACTTCGCTAGCTCCAACTCGTCATCATGATGTAAGAACAGTGATCAAACATTTAGCAAACGTCAGTCGCGTTCCAACAAGACAAGTGGTAAAAATAACACACAGACAATTGGAAGGAAGTAGATAAGATAGATATTCGATTGAGTGAGAGAGAGAGAGAGAGAGACAATATCACGACCGCACACAAATCGGTACAACAACGTATACACCTGGAGAAACGTGGATCAGCTAGAGTGCACTTACCTCCGGCAGCTCCTAGAAAATTAAAAGGTATACGAAAAAAAGGAGATCAAACGGAAACAGAAAATCAAACCGAAAAAAAAACATCAAACAAAAAAAAATAAGTAGGTAAACACATTGAACACAGTACGTGTGCGAGTGTGTTGAGAGAGAAAAAACACGAGAGAACACATAAAACAACAACAGCCACACCATCATCAACAACAACACCAGCAGTACACGGGACGACCGCGTTAGTTGTTTATGTGTGCGTGTGTGTTTGAAGGTTACAACAATGATAACAACGCAAAGAGGAATAACGAAAAAAGAAGTAAAACAAAAAAATTCGGATTGGATCAAAGAAGAAGAGGAGGAAGAGAAGAGAAGAAAAGAGATTCGTTAGTATTCATGTTTAGAGAACGTCGGTAGAAAGAACTGGAAATTTAGTTTTTCAAACAAATTTTTTTGAGAATGGAACATGTGAGGTTATGTTTTTTTTTTTAGTATTTCTGTGCTTGTGGTTTATGGTTTGCATTTCTAGGTGGTTGTGGTGGTAGTGGTAGTGAATGCAGCGGCTCTGAAAAAAGTGAATGTATGTGTGAGATGTTCGAATCTACGTGTCGGATGTGGCGAGTGTTTAGGTTGATTATTTTTCTAGAACAGGTTCGAATTCGGTAGCGGTTGAGTGAAATTGATAGATGAAAGTTTCGAGGTTGGTAAATAACTTGAAGGGGCAAGGTGAAAGGGATAATAAAGCTACATGAAAGCAGTTGCTAGTTTTTATTTCAGTTACAAATCCAACTAAAATGGCATTCAAAATCAATGGCAGCTAAGCGGGTTGATTTGGCTAATTTCTGCAAAAAACAGTGCGTTTATGATATTAGCTAGAGCAAACCTCAATGAACAAGAGCAAACAGGAGAAAACTATTGAAAATTGACGATATCTTACCTTTCAAGCGATTTTAGTATAATTATATGATTTTTTTTTTCAACATAAATGAGTGACAGAAAGATCAGACAGATGCGTTATTTCACAGCAAAGATAGAAGTGATGGAAGCTATAACAGCAAAAAGATTGAAATGTGAACGTTCCACGGTTTGGCTACCACCACCCCCGGTTAAATAATCCAGATATTGCGTTTCCGTCAGATTACGTGAGATGTACCCCCAAACCATTATCGTAAACATGTTAATCAACGTTACTTTCATTATACACTTCCGCTGTACCTTGTCCCATTACAGCGAACATACACAGCATGTTGTCTTACGACCGTACGGAGCCATTACGTACATTGCAACGTTCTTTTGCTTTAAATTTTTAACAACGCCCCAAAGTGGTTCAAAGTTTGTGTGTTCCCTCGAAGGAACGTTACAAAAAAGAAGCAGAAACATTTAATTTCTCCCAAATGCCACGGTAAAATTGCTGCAGCAAACGCGTTGGAAAAGTTTTTTTTTTCCTGAATGATTATCGTGGCGGCGATACCGATGACGGTGACAGCTGCTGCCATCTGTAAGCGAGAAAAATTCACCGTTTTCGCGCCCGAATGAATGCAATTTTAGCTTTCTGTAGAGGGTGTCATGACGCGCAACGTTTAGAAAGTTGGTGGAAATAGGAAGTGTAATTAATTTTCCGCCTGCATGGGACGGGGCAGCGTTGCAGGATAACGTGTTGGTCGTATGTATGGAACGATGGAACTAAACTGTAACTTGTTTGGTGTATAACTGAAGTTGTCACTTTGGTTGCGATAGGAGCCAGCTGCTCTCAAGGGGTGCGAAGATTGGCACCAGTAGTGACATAGACAGATGTTAGTTGCAAAAATGTGCATACATGCAGCAGAAGTGTTGGAGTGACGTGTGAAGATTTACGAGCTTTGTGATGAGTTTTGTGCCAAAGATTTGTTGGATGTCACACTTCACGGTGATGGTGAAGTTTGTAGTTTGGGTTGAGCAAAGTAGCGGATTTTTTTTTAGATGACTCTATAGAGCAATTCTTTGCTAATCAAAATACATCCGATCAAATTTGATCGATTTTTTTCGGTGGTGTATGGGGGAAAAGTGGTGCTGTAAATTGAGGAAAACCCGAAAAGCGAAATTGAATTTTATTCATTTTTTTTTTCTAAATACGACCTCATGATTTAACAAATTGATTCCATTTGAATAGTTTCATGTTGCCAGACTTAAACAATCGTTATTTGCAAAAGTTCGTTGTGGTGTAAGGGACTCGTTGGCCAAGCTGTGACCGTTTTTCTTTACTTAGTAGAAGATCGTGTGTCTTTTCACCCAGCCCCCTATACATGACTGAGTTAATAAGTCTTGGACATATTCCATCGTTCGGTAATTTTTAGTCGTTTGTCTGTGATTTGGGTAGTTTTCCAGGAGTAGTCCAGAAAATCCGGTGATGGAAAGCGAATACCGGGAAAAAAAACTACAAGGGACAGCCCTATGGGTTTGTACGCAATGGTGACGTAGGACTACGTGGTCTTCTATAATAAATGTTTTTTTGTTAACTGCAGCAGGAGCTTGTGTTTTGTGTAGGAATATGAATTTGAGTGGGGTTCTCTCTATGTATACTCTTTAGTATGACTATGATTGCCCTGAAAAGAATCTTCTGATATGAATTTTAGTTGAGACATATTCAGAAATTTAACTCTTTTGGAAAATCTTGGTGGCCCTGAAAAGAGCCGATGGTAATACAGGTTTAAAACCTTTGGTAGATGATGATGACGTGTAGGCAGCTGGATCAACAAATCGGACCGGACAATCCCATATTCTTCAGTTCAATGATTGGGCACTCGCAAGATTCTCGGCCCGTCTGCTGCTGGGCAGGGGTTGAACTGGAGTCTGTGACAGGTTGCAAGGCCGTAGTGAGGGAAACCTCAACCTTACTACGATGAATGGACTACGTACATGTAAACATGGGCTACGTACTGGAAGATGGTAGCAGAAAACCTCTCCAGTTGTTCTTTACCGGACCGGCTGGATGCGGTAAAATGTTTACGCTCCATATCCTGATGGAGACATACAATTGCTTTTGCCAGCAACATAATGCACTAGATAACGCCTATGTCGCCTACGCATTGACAGGAAAAGCTGCCGTGGCTTTAGGAGGAACAACTGTCCAACTGCCATCGCAATAACGCTGTTGAAGCGTATAATATTGATGCCTTTAGCAACCGTGATGGATGGGATTGAACTACCGAGGATGTACCAAGACGCTGCTCAGCTAGCCAGTACCCGTACCAAACTGCCCAAAATGAGTGTCGTTGAAACCTGAAACAGGTTCCATACCTTCTTCGATTAATTGTTGGCATGTCATACATGATAACGACCAACGTAGAAGTAGAGGGCGGTCTTGTCAACGGAGCTATCGGCGAACTCAGGTACATTGAGCACACCGGTGATAACCCCCAGCAGTCGGCGTGACTGGACTGACAAGACTGGACGCCAATCTACAGGCGATTGGTCAACGTCAAGCTAAGCAGCGCCATTGGTATACGTCGCCATGTCACGTGTGAGCTCAGTGCAGGGGCTCTACTTGACCAACTCCGCCAATTCTTTCGTGTTTCATCACGGTAAGGGCAGCAATACCCCCAAGATGAATGAGTTCCGTGATGAGATGCAACGGCTGGAAAGCCACAAATTGGCGACGCTCAGTGACGATCGCATTCCTCGATAACGCTGATCACTCTGTTATAATGATGAACCTGGACAGCCACAGCCTGAATGCGTATTCCGAGGACGTGTCAACTGACCATGTCATGACCAGAGCCGACTTCTTGGCGTTGAGTGAGACATGGACGGACGGCAATGAGGCTTCGGAAATATCAGGTAAATGAATTCTTTCAATTGTTGGACTTGGATGGTAGCCCATTTTTCGAAAGCTAGAAAATCATGCCCCACCTATTTTGGGTATTTAATCATACGCTTCATCTGCTGCGCCTTTCTACACTATATTTTGCGTTTTATCGAAACAGCCGGTAGAATATCAGTGTCCACCCAGGTAAAGCTCCTCCCCTTTTTAGTTTTTCTCGTTTAACTCCTCTTCTCAAGTTGGTAAATTCTAGCCTTTAGCAGAAAGACGCTTAACACTTTTTTCGGCAAATTTATGATCCTGTTTTACCTCATGGTTCTTCTCTATGCCTGTTCAGATAAATAAGTAACTAAATTACTAACCTATTTCGCACTATTTCTGCTATGCTCTTCTATCATTCAGAACAACAAACGTATCAATGAATGTGTTTTGCGTCGAGTTATTAACGAAACAGTAAGTCGATGAAGAGAATCGATCAAAATCACTGCTTCGAAGTTTGGTTACAAGATTACAACTCTGGAAAATGTTACGCAATTGCATCCTCCCTATTCGCACACGCCCGAAGATCGGAGGCGAATGCCACTTCGACTTGTTTCGTCTAGAAACGATTCTCTGATGACTGTGTTGGGGAAGCAGCATATGCATCTACGTAATTGGTGGATTTTTTAGTCATTTTGACGCTTTTGGACAATGGCTGATATTTACCACTTCAATAGTTTCTTGTTGAAAATCAACAGTCTATAGCTTGCGTAGACATATTTCTGATCGATTGGTGATAAAATTATTCAAATTGGTCCAGGGGCAGCTGAGTTATCAACGTTCAAAATCTTTCATAATTACGTTACATGTTCCATTTTCGGTTTTTACAAACTGTACTCCCATATAGAAATCACAGACGTAGTCCTATGCCGAAATTCCGTGCAATTGTAGTCAAGGATTTTTTTTCCAATGGTGTAAAATTTGGGTGGAAAAATGCATTCAACTTCAAGTGGTGTGCTTTTTCCGGGAAAGTGACTTCCATAGAGATTTTTTCCTTTGATTTGATTCCCGTCGATCTTGTTTTTCGTGCTGAGCACCAATGCTACCGACGCCAGGGAGGCAGCTCCCACATCTGGACCCTACCTATCGACCCACCAACTCATGAATAAGGGACCAACGGCTTTACTTCCCTTCCGAAGGAAGGCGTGGTCAGAGATGTTATGCCTCAGAACATCCCAGCGGTGCC